GCAGACAGCAAGGGACCAATGAACAGATACCAAAAGGGAAGAATGTCCACACCTTTATCTCAGTGGTTCTGCCAGGTGTCTGTGGCCGCGCCGATCTTTCCCCCATGTGGTCTTACCCAAGATGGCGGCTCCTGAAGCAGCCGAGCGTCCCGGACTAGAAAGCAATAGATTTCTTGCTTCTGCCACAAATTCCCCCAGCTGTGAGCCTTCTAACCTTCTAAATATTTCTTTATATGTGGTTCAGAGTTCTGGGACCAGCCCCTGAACCTGCTTGGTTGGGTATTCTGTGTTGTTGTTGGCGGAGCTCTCTGCTATACATCCACCCAATCTGCCATCTTGTTTGTTCTCTGCTTTATTTCTTTTTAAGGAAAACTGCTATGTTTCCTGAATACCAATTCTCCTGTAGATTATGAAAGCTCTATTTTTTTGAGTCAATTCTTGTATAGATTTGTGAGCAATGTCTTCTCCCTACCTTACTCCTTGAATCAAGGAAATATGCCAGAGATATGTAACTCCTATAATTGTAAATGTATATAAATGTTGAATTTTGGAGATCATCTTCTACATCTTCTGTGTGTAATTGTAGGTATTTTATGTGCATACATTTTTGGTATGTCATGTAGTCTATAAAGTATTCACAGCCAGGTCAACTGAGATGAGCACATGTCTACAATACAGAGGAATAAAGGAATAAAACAGAAGAAACCAGGATCCCAGTTTTCTTTTAATAGCACCAGGAGGACCTCAATTTCAGTCTCTCTTGTTGCTGACTGCCCAATGACTTCTTGCCATGTCAGGCTCTGTTCTTCACCTACTTCTGATTGTTTGATCAAGTCACATTGTCCTGCCTTGAAACTAGTCAAGGTCATCAATGGCGGCAAAGATGCGGAAATGGACTAGCGATCCCACTGCTCCCACAGTTGCCTCTCAACTCTAGCTTTCTTTATGGTTTTCTCTGCTTACTGAACTAGTACAGGCTCATTGAGAAAGCCAGACATATAAAAACATAACGGGAAAGTTCCCCCATAGTCTTATACTCAGAGATCATAATTGTTAACAGTTCCATACACATTCTTCCAGATTTTTCTATGACTATTAGAATTAGTTTATTAAAAATACAGCGCTTAATGTTCTGTAATCTTCATTTTACTGAGTAAGTATGTATTGCATGTGTACACATATATTGACAGATATAACCACCACCTTCCATATTTTGATATTATAAAGAATGTTCTTGAAGAATTTACATAGGAAGAATACAGGAAGACGCTATCTAGTTTACTAACAGAAAAACTATTTTGAAAACTTTTATTAAAAGCCTTGGTATTAATAACTTCCTTATTGATTTCTTCATGTACTGTTTTAACAAGAAGTTTTTAAAACTCCTTGAGGGTCCATATTCTTTTGCATCTTAACAAATTCTAGCATGGTATATAATATAGAATGTTGTTGTAGTTAAGTGCTATTGAGTTGATCCTGACTCACAGCGACCCTATATATAGGGTTTCCAAGGAGCAGTTGGTAGGTTTGAACCACAGATCTTGTGGCTAACAGTCCAGGGCTTATCCTACAGCGCCACACCAGAAGTCCATAATATAGAGTATAGAGGAAATATTTGTTAAAGCAGATTTCTTTGCTAATAGTAAATTTGATGTAAGACATTAAAAAAAAATGTCCGTTTATATCAATACATTGTCTTTAAAGGTAGTTTTATTTGTGATTGGGTGATGTGACAACTCTTGTCCTTAACAGTTAGATCAACTGCATCTGAAAAGTAATCCCTTTAGCTGCTTAATTTAGTCATTTTTATGATTATCAAGTGCATGCCTAATAGGTGATATGGAAATTATAGATGAGCCAAAAATAAAAAAAGTTCAATGAAATCATTGCTAAGCTCCCGCCTCTCCCCAGAGACAGCCACCACAGCTCTCTGGACATACTCTCTCCTCCACCACCTTGCCAACTTCTGACTCTTAGCAGTGGCTCCCAGACACTAGGTCATTCAGTACTCAGCCAGTGTCTAGTTCCCTTGAATCATTTCTCACACACTTAGGCTGGTGGGTTGTTTGCCCCTAGCAGTGAAATTTATGCCCTGATGATGCTTGGCTTGTCTCTCTCACTCTTCCCTAGTTCTCTGTGCCATGAAGGAAGACAATGAGAAGGTGCCTACTTTACTAACGGATTACATTTTAAAAGGTAAGGGGAATCCCAGGCCACCAGCGGCAGAATTGACTCTATAGGACTCCTCCCTGTGATTCTTGCTCCAGGTGTTGAACCCAACCTGAGCCTTCCATGAGCATTCAATCCAGGCCAGACTGAGGGGTTAGGGATCAGGGAACTCAGTGAACAATTGTGAGACCCTCACAAGAGTGGGTTTTGCATTTGAATGGTGCTAGGAGGCCTGAGAAGGAGATTCCATCTCCCCTGAGTCACCACTGTGACTTCATATGTAGAGGACCCAAGCCAATAAAGGACTTGCTATCAAAATTCTTTAGTGTTTGGGTTATTTGCTTGGGAAAAACAAGGCCTGAGAAAACTCTAAACTTTCAGATACTTGAAACTGATGTCATGGGTAGTTACATTCTTTTGTAATAGTTTTTATTTAAAAAAACAAAACAAAAAACTTTTATTATGGAAACTTTTGACATATACAAAATTAGAGTGAATAGTATGCCAAACTCTCATATACTTATCATCTGGACTCAACAATTAACTCATGGCCAACCAATCTTGTTTCATTTATATCCGCACCCAAAAATTCCCCTCCTTATAAATTTGAAACAAATCCCAGTCATTATATTTTTCTTCCATAAATAGGTGAGTATTAATTTCTAAGACATAAGGATGGTTTTTAAATATATAACCACAACACTATGTTCACAATTGTAAAAAACCAAAATTTTCCATAAAATTTTTTTAGTTTGAATCGGGATCCAAAGATGGTATATAGATTGCAATTGGATAATATGTATCTAAAGTCACTTTATATATATTATATCTATATATATGCACACAGGTTGCCCTGTTCTCCCTCTGTCTCATTCCTTGAAATGCGTTTGTTGGCAAAATCAATCTCTCTGTACTGTAGAATTCTCTAGTCTGATTTTGCTGATTGCATCCTCATGGTATAATTCAATCTATGAATCTATTTTCCATCTCCTATATTTCCTGTGAGTGGAAGAGCCAGAGCTTGCTTAGATTCAGGCTCAACATTTTGGATAAACACTATGTAACTGAACTTCCATGGGGAGACATATACTGTCTGGTTGTCTTTCTTTTTGTAATGTTAGTAACCACTGGTGCACATTCATTCCCTAGATTTGGTTTTTAAAATTAGGTTTTGCTCCATGCATACACAAAACTGGGTAATTTCAGAAGGTTAGTGGATCTCAGTTAAGAACCCCTGAAATGTATGAGGTGGCTTCAAAAAGTTCTTGGAAAAATAGAATGGAAAGATAATGGAATTTTTCCATAAACTTTGTGAAGCCCCCTTGTATTGTTTTCATAAGAATCGCAGAGATTAATCTTATATTTCACAGGAATAATTAAGTGAACATTGGCATAAAAAAATGATCTTTTAAAAAGTTTTCAAAGAATGGCAAGTTTCTCAAAGGAAATCTTTCTTCAAAGGAACCTTATTAAAAAGTCTGTGAGTCTGAGGACTAGACTTTATTCCTTGTGGTCCACTAAAATGCCAATGAATTTATAAATAATAGTTAACATTTATTGAGCATTTTCTATGTTCCTCTAAGCAACCTTTTGACATCAGCACAGGCACATTTGTTACGGAGGTGAAGAAAAAAACAAGCACAGATGTCTAAGGAATTTCCAGAAGGTCATAAAATTAGTAATAGTTGGATCCTAGATTTGAACGTAGAGACTATACGCTTTATCCTCACACTGAACAATCCACCTATCATTGTCTCTTTCTCCTTTTGGACCCAGTACATGACTGCAAATTCCCCCTTGCTCAGAACATTGGAGAGAAGCCAAGTGCTGTCTCCTTAGGCCACCCTGACTTGACAGCTACAGACCCACGCTGTGCTCTGACCTCTCTCCTCTCTTCTCTTTTCAGTGCTCTGTCCTACCTAACCTTGCTCTTTGGAGCATCCTCGCTGCAGGAGGTCACCGAGCAAGAGTCATTCCATTACAGGGACTGCATGACACCACGTAACCTCCAACATGTATTTAAACATGTATAGCTTAACCTGGATTAACCTGAGCAGTGCGGGTCCTTTGCTGTTGGCTTCTAGTCCTAGTAATCATTGGATGCATGACAGAGGGCGGGGCTGGTGAGGGTACCTCCTTTCTACTTATATTGAGGAGAGCAGATGCTTTCACCACTCATGTAGTCTGACTCCAGCCCTTAAGCTTGGCTTACATTCTATTAATAATAATAATTTTGAAATAAACCTTCATTTAATTAACATTCGTCATGTGTTTGGAGTGTGGTGTCCATTGACCTGTTCCAAACCTTCTAGAGAAAAAACATGTTAACTGCCATCACAGGAGATCTTGCATCCTCTGGTAACCAGTGGAGTAGTTAGGACTGAGGATGCTTTGTTGGTCATGGTGGGAACCTGTGGGATGCAGTGGGATGCACATGGTACAGGAAGAAGGGGGTCATCACCCACAGAACTTCTGATAAAATTGTGCTGCTTGGTAGCATTAAGGGAGCTGCAAACTGCCCTGTCAGAATGAGCTCATTGGCAGGTTGTTTAGACTGGGTGAGGAGACTGGGAAGTCAGCAGACATGGAGGTCTCTTCAGGTCTTACATGGGACCCAGAGGCTCAGCTGAGCTGTGCTGAGCTCTCCTTAGTATGTGGGATTGCTGCTTCTTTCCTGCAGTAGAGACCCCACTACTTCCTGACTCTGCCTCAGACAACTCCTAGGAAAAAAGTCCTCTGAATTTGCATGCCCTTCCTGTAGTCCTAAAAGACCAGCAGCTCTCACTCCTATGTCCTATCCCTGGCACCTGTGGAAGACAGTGGACAGACTGATCCATAGGAGATAACTGAATTGGTTCCACCACAACTGAATTTTTTTGGCTCCCAACTTCTGGATTGAACAGACTAACCTGCCAATTCCCATAACTCCTATCTTAAAACAAAACCTTTTTCTGAACACTTGCTATGTGTCCTATTGCTCTCTGTATGTCATCTCACAGCACAGCAGCCCCATATAGTAAGTAGATACTGCCATAACCAATTGCCATTGACTCATAACAGTCCATGTGTTTCGGAGTACAACTGTGTTCCATAGGATCTTCAATGACTGATTTTTCAGAAGTAGATTGCCACGCCTTTTTTCTAAGGTGCTTCTGGGTAGACTCAAACATTCAACATTTTAGCTAGAAACCAAGCTCATTAACTATTTTCACCACTAAGGAACTCCAAGTAGATACTGTTGTTGTGTGCTGTTGAGTTGGTTCTGACTCACAGTGACCCTGTGTAGGGTTTCCAAGGACAGCTGGTGGGTTTGAACTGCTGACTTTGCAGTTAGCAGTCCAGTGATTATCCTGTAGTGCCACACCAGGCATTGTCCTGTTTTTCAGAAGGAACTAAGAACTAAAGATATCCAGTGCAAAGCTGCACAGGAAGTAGTAGAGGTAGACCAGCTCTTAGGGATCGTATCCAATTAAACTTACACAGATTTTTTTTTTTTTAAAGTAGGCCACATTAAGTCATTGCTTTTGAAGGAAATTTGAAATTCAGATGAAATCAAGCTATCTTGAGTTGCCAAAGAACAAAGATGAATTTTAGTTTTCTTACCTTTCGTTGTCTGATAAGAGGTTATACCACCCAGAATGCCCAATATGCAAATAGGAGGAGTACAGGAAATTTTCAAAATGACAAACTGCCTTTTCCTTTCTTTCTTCCTATTTTTCTACTTTCCATTGTGAATTGGATGAAGGTTTAAAGAGTAGTTCAGTTTTCCATTCAACAATTCATATACAGTTTGTTTCATGTCACTGATTCCCATCCCTACAATGTAGCATCATGGATCCCACTTCCTCTGTTTCCTGTTTCCATTTCTCCTTTCTTAATCCTTCTGAACTTGGTTCTTGGCTAAATGCTGTCCTTTTGACCTAAAGTGGTTGATTATCCTAAGGTGTCTATAACTTCCTAATGTTATCGTTCCCCTTACATTGTTGTTGTTGTTGTTAAGTGCCATCCAGTCGGCTCTGCCTCACAGTGGTCCTGTAAAGGGTTTCCCCCACCAGCTGCTCCTTGGAAACCCTAAACAGGGTAGCTGTGAGTTGGACCCACTTTAAAAGCACTTAACAACAACAAACCCAACATAGGGTTTTGAGGAGTAGTTGGTGGGTTTGAAGTGCCAACCTTGTGATTAGCAGTCTAGTGCTTCTCCTTCAGCACCACAGCAGGACTCCACGTTCCCCTTATGGCCCTACCTATTGTTTGGCTGAAAATTAAGTTCATTTCCAGACATGAAGAGGGGCTAAGAGCCATAGTCTTGAGGGTTCCATCAGTCTCTATCCTACCAGTAAGCCCGTTTTTTAAAATTTTGAGTTTTGTTCAACATTGTTTATCCACTCTATCCAGCACCTTCTAATGTGATCCTTTACAGAGCAGTTGGTAGTGGTAGCTGGGCACCATCTAGTTCTTCTGGTCTCAGAGTTGTGGAGACTAATGTTTGTGTGGCCTACAAGTTCATACAATTGTTTCCATGTGTCATCTATTTTCTTCACTCTTCTTTCCTCTGGACAAGGAGAGACCAATAGTTGCAACTTAGATTTTAAGACTTTCTCCCTACTCATCAAAGTAGGATGTCTAACATTGTCTTTGTGGATTATGTTATGCCAGTTGACCATGGAGTCCCCTGAGATCATGGTCCTGAGCTCCCAATCCCGGTAACTCCTTCCTTCAAGGGGTTTGGTTATGTCTAAAGTGTTTTCATAACTTTCGCCCCTACATGATCCACCAAATTCATGGAAATATTTGCAGCAAATGTACATACACATGTAGAAATATCCTCTGTCAAACCTACATATAGTCATGGTGATACTTGCACTCTCCCTTTTCACACCTCTTCAGCCTGCACTTACTTATTTTGACTGAGCATACTACCAGAAAAACTATGCTTTATCACATTGGCAACTCCACAGAAGGCCCTATATACTACGGAGGTGAGATGGGGTAAGTCGATGATCAAAGATGACGTTGGTGCTGGACATTCACTTCCTGGGCCTCTGCTTTCCCAGGTGTAGTCTTTGGAACAGGAGCAATCTCACCTCAGAAGGAAGGGCAGACTGTCCTAGTGCTGACAGCACTTACTCAGAGCAGATGTCTGTTGATTTAGAGCTCCCATTGCTACAGGAACATAGAAACGACCTCAAGGTGCCTACAACATTCTCAGAATCAACAAATTGACATAAATAACAGTCTCTTGACAAAAAGGGGTGACTTAAGTTATGCAGTTCATTGTTACTAAGGTTGCAGGTGAAAAGAAGGGTGTGAGGGTTTTAACCCATATCAGCAATGAGGAAGCAGGGACTCCTGAAGAACTTGCCTTCCTGCTTTGAATTTGTCAGATCTGGGGCAGCCAATCCTTTTCTCCAATTTATCTTGCCAGCAGGTGTCTGAAGCAACAGATACAAGCTAATCAAACCTGCTGGGTTAAAAATAAATCTCAAGTGTCAGGAATACACTCAGTCTAGGAGGAGGCGATCAGAGAAGGGTGAGAACTGTGGCTACTCTTTTCTCCCTCCTTTTGTCCACACCAGGAGTTCCAAAGGAATACTGAATCAGTTCCTCCTGTTTTTGCACCACCCTTTCCTCCAGTCTTCTACTCAGAGTGTGGTTCTCAGACCAGTGGCGTTGCTAATGTTGAGAGCTGGTTAGACATGCATAAGCTCTGCTCTCACCCCTGTGGATCAGACTCTACACTTTAACCAAGATCCCCAGGTGATTGGTATTTGCTTTAAGGTTTGGAGATGCTGTACTCTAGGTTGTCAGAGGTGCTTGAGCCCTGACTGCCAGACTGTATCTGAAGAAAGCATATCTAGTGTTTTAAATGGGTGAATACATGTCTTTCCCCCACCCAGTAAGATACTTGACTCCAGTCAGCCTTAATTGCAAAAGTCTAATTTTGTCTAGGGTGTTAACATTCAGCTAAGAGTCTGTGGAGAGATGTGGTCTTCAGGGTGTCCTCTAAGTAGGTATATAGGTAGGAGGTTTGTCTGACTAATGGTTCTTTCATTGGGTGTCTTTCCATCAATTAAAGGTCTCAATGTAGATTTGTCAAGCCTAATTCGGTCAAAAGGAGCCTGGTAGTACCATGGTTAAGAACTTGACTGTTAACTAAAAGGTCAGAGGTTTGAACCTACCAGTACTAAAGATGTGGTAGTCTGTTTCCATAAAGATTACAGCTTTGAAAACCTTTTGGGACAGTTCTACTCTTTTAATAGGGTCACTATGAATTGAAATGGATTCAATGGCATACAACAACAATAATCTGGTCAAGTAGTCCCTTGGTGATAAAAACAACTAATGCATTTGAACGCCAATTGAAAAGTTGGAGGTTCAAGTCGACCCAGATGTGCCTCAGGACAAAAATCAGCTACTGACAACCCTATAGAGCACAATTCTATCCTGATACACTTGGGGTTTCCATGAATTGGAATTGACTTGACAACAACTGTTTTTCAATCTGGTCAAAATCTTATAGCAAAACTCCAACAAAGAGCCTTTGTAGAGAATTGAAACAAATGATCATGTGAGGACAAACCATTTTCCAAGCGAAAAATCCTATGTTCCTATTCTTTTTAGACCACTGTTTCAGGATGGGAGGCAGTTATCATATCTCAAAAGGGAAGCCCAAAGGGATGGTTTTTTGTGGCTCTGATTGAAGTTTGTGGGTCCTGGTGTGGCACTGAAGGAAAAGCACTAGACTTCTAACTGCAAAGTCAGCAGTTCAAACCTACCACCCGTTCCTCAGAAAACCTACACATGGTCGCTATGACTCAGAACTAAATCGACAGTGCTTACCAATAACAGTTACAGTTTTTGGGACATATTGGAGTTGTCAAATTAAATCAACCCTTTTCATACTTACTGGAATAATAAGGTCTGGAGTATTGTTATTTTCAGATAGTGGTTCAGGTAAGAAGAGATGGAAACTATCAATAAAATGGCATTATCCCTTGTTATTTTCAGATAGTGGTTCAGGGAAGAAGAGATGGAAACTATCAATAAAATGGCATTATCCCTTGTCTTAGAATGAGTTATAAACCAAGTACTAAAAGGATATTGAGCTTCCAGTCAATAAGTGATTCTAAAACCTGGTCACTGAGAGCTATATTGGTCTCACCAAAGGATAAAAGTGATGAGCACCCAGGCTGCCCAGCATTCCTTGTAGCAGAAGAAAGAAGAAAGGAGAGGCAGCTTTGTTTCTATGGAAGTCAGGAGAGG